GAGAAACCTTTTGAATGCTCAGTGTGTGGAAATAGATTCAGTGAGAGGGGGAATCTTCACCAGCATCAGAGAACCCACACAGGGGAGAAACCTTTTGAATGCTCAGTGTGTGGAAAGGGATTTGGTGTGAGTTACAGTCTTCGATGCCATCAGAGAACTCACAGTGGGGAGAAACCTTTTGAATGCTCAGCATGTGGAAAGAGATTTAGTGTGAACAGTCATCTTCGAAGCCATCAGAGAACTCACACTGGGGAGAAACCTTATGAATGCGCAGAGTGTGGAAAGAGATTCAGTCAGAGTGGCATTCTTCAACGGCATCAGACAACTCACACAGGGGAGAAACGTTTTGAATGCTCAGAGTGTGGAAAGAGATTTAGTTTGAGTGCCAGTCTTAAACAGCATCAGAAAACTCACACAGGGGAGAAACCTTTTGAATGCTCAGAGTGTGGAAAGAGATTCAGTCAGAGTGGTGTTCTTCAACGGCATCAGAGAACTCACACAGGGCAGAAACCTTTTGAATGCTCAGAGTGTGGAATGAGATTTAATAGGAGTGGCAGTCTTCAAATGCATCAGAGAACTCATACAGGGGAGAAACCTTTTGAATGCTCAGCGTGTGGAAAGAGATTTAGTGTGAACAGTAGTCTTCGAAAACATCAGAGAACTCACACTGGGGAGAAACCGTATGAATGCTCAGCGTGTGGAAAGAGATTTAGTGTGAACAGTAGTCTTCGAAAACATCAGAGAACTCACACTGGGGAGAAACCTTATGAATGCGCAGAGTGTGGAAAGAGATTCAGGGGAGTGGCAGTCTTCGAGAGCACCAGAGAACCCACACAGGGGAGAAACCTTATGAATGCTCAGAGTGTGGAAAGAAATTCAGTCGGAGTCGCCATCTTCAATGGCATCAGAGAACTCACACAGGGGAGAAACCTTATGAATGCTCAGAGTGTGGAAAGAGATTTAGTAGGAGTGACAGTCTTCAAAAGCATAACAGAACACACACAGGGGAGAAGCCTTTTAAATGCTTAGAGTGCGGAAAGAGATTAAGTGGGAGTGGGAGTCTTCAGAATCATCACAGAATTCACACAGGGGAGAAACCTTATGAATGCTCAGAGTGTGGAAAGAGATTTAGTGTGCACAGCAGTCTTCAAAACCATCAGAGAATTCACACAGGGGAGAAACCGTATGAATGCTCAGTGTGTGGAAAGAGGCTTACTGAGAAGGGCAGTCTTCGAAAGCATCAGAAAACCCATACGGGGGGAAAACCTTTTGAATGCTCACAGTGTGGAAAGAGATTCAGTCGCAGCAGCACTCTTCAACAGCATCAGAAAACCCACACAGGAGAGAAACCTTTTGAATGCTCAGAGTGTGGAAAGAGATTCAATCGGAGTACCCATCTTCAACGGCATCACAGAACGCACACAAGGGAGAAACCTCTTTAATGCTGAGAGTGTGGAAATAGATTCAGGTTGAGTGGCAGTCTTCAACAGCACCTGACAACTCCTACAGGGGAGAAAACTTTTGAATGCTCATGTTTTGGAAGAAGATTCAGTCAGAGTGGAACTCTTCAGCTGCACCCAAGAACTACACAGGGGAGAAGCCTTCTGATTGCTCAGAGTGTCGAATGAGATTCAATTTGAGTTTCCATCTTCAGCAGGATCTTAGAGAACCCACCAGAGGAATAACCTTTTGAATTCTCAGAATGGAAAGAGGATTTCAGCAGTTAAATATTCTGCAGCATCTAAAAATTAACATGAGAAGAGACCACGTACCTGCTTAGCCCATGAAAAGAGTTTTCCTCATATTTCACAGCTAAAAGTCAACAACAGACCATTTAAAGCACTACTATATAAACATTTGTGGAAAGCTTGAATCGACGCAGAAATCTTACCCTAATCAGCATGAAATGTTCAAAATGGTTGGACTGTAGAAGGAGCTTTAGCCATGTTTGAATCCCTCAAATAGATCTCACAGGGAAGAAGGTAAGGATGGGCTCTGCCAACTGTAGCGGATTCAAATCAACTGATGTTTCCTTCAGCCTGGAGGAGTCCACACAAGGGAGGACTACCTCATAAATGCTCAGTGTGTGTTGAGAGCTTGAGGCACAGATCAAATGTTCATGGTCTTCAGAGAATCCATTGGAGGGTGAAACAGCTGGTCCTGGTGATGGTCTTCTTCTGATGCCCAAGTGTTGGGGGGGGTTCAGAAAGGCTCAGAAAGTAGTCACACAAAGGAGAGCCTTTCTAGTGGCATCCTCCTCCTGTGAAACTTTCTACTTCAGGCTATCTGCCGGTCTAACTCTGTCTGACATCTACAAAACTGGCAAAACCCTTTCCTTTCCCCAGTCCCGTGAGGAAATAGGCAAGTTGAGGGTAACAGATATCTACAGCTTCTCTGCTACTGGCATAAACATCGTGTGACTCGTGGACATCCTTATTTCACAGATGTTTTTATCTGTCAAGGAGTTCTAGAGAGGTATTACACAACCCCAATCCCTCCCCAGTCCAGCCTGCTGTGAGCTTTTTTGGGTTTCACCACCTTGAAGCCCAAAGAGTTCTGGCCATAGGATTTATTTGAGTTGACAGAAAAAACTTGTGTCCCCCAACCCAACAACTCAGTAAGTTTTAAGGGGTCAGACCTCTCAATATCATCCAGTATTGTCGAAATGGACTGGTCTCTGTGGAGCTGGCAGGTGAACCTTGTAGGACACAAATTCCCCAATCCCCATTGTCCTCCACACCCACGTCCAGATTCTCCCAGGGAGAATCAGGAAAGTGAAGTAAGATTCCCTCCTCCTGTTCCCCCCCCCCCCCTCAACTCCCTGAGCTAGAAATGACCAAGAGTAAGCCCTGGGCCAAGGCTTACTTCTCACCTCTAACTCCTCAGTGCTCCCCTTGAATTCCTCCCTGGAGATTATGCCTTTATGCAGCAAGCTGAGAAATTTCACCTCACTACTTTAATTTGGAAAGGTACCTGCATTAGGATTGCTAACAGGCCTGAAAGGGGCGGACGACATCCTGCGTCTTTCCCAAGTGCTTAGTGAATGGAAATGGGCATCAGAAGAGGTGACATGTCTTTCCTCCAGGTAGCTGGCAGCCCTAGATTAAGGATGTTTTTATGAGTCTGAGAAAACAAAACTCAGCTAAGGAAAGGTCATAGTTCATTCAAGAGATTATTATTTGTATTAGGTAAATCAGGCTTTGTGTTTTTTTAGCTTTGTAGGGTTTTTATGAATTGGGCTTCATGAATGTGTCAAAGGTGGACTTCCGGCGGTGCGGTGCTGCGTCACGGGCGTGTGTCTCGGGAGCTCCCGAGACGCCCAAGTCTTGACTGCTCTTTCGGGAGCCCCCCCCCCCCCGGGGTGGGGAGGTCCCGCTTGGTGCTCCTGGAGGGAGACCAAGGCATGAGGCTTGGCTGGCCCCCCATTCCCTGGCAAGGACGGGGGTGTGACCAGTGTGCCTCTCAAGCGGGAGCGTCATGAAGAACGGGAACCTGTTCCCGTCATAGCAGCTGCCAGCCGTGTTTTTAATGTGCACAGTGAATGGGTTTTTTCTTCTCTTGTTTGGATTTTTTGTTTGGAACGAAGATTACCTCTGCATTACATTGAAGGACAGGTCCAGTGAACAAGACCGGGCTAAAAGAAGAGCTCTCTAACCCCCTCGACATGGACTTCCCCTTGACGCAGAAAGGCGGCCGAGAATATGTAAGGAACTGGAGAATGAATCGATTTTGAGGGGGTAAGAGACGAACTTTATTTGAAATTTCACCCTCTTTGCTATGCTCTATGCTCAAGCTGATAGAAGCATTGGAAACCTTTGACATAAAGACGGAGAGTGGTAGAGTTAAGTGGATAAGAAAATGGCAGCGGCGCTAATTTGAACTTAAATTAAAAGTGAACTTAAATCTGAACATTTCCATATAACTTTAAGAGATGAACTGGAAAAAACTCTGCAACAGGTATGGGACAAAATGCTAAGTAAATCTCAGTGTTCATCGGTAGTAGATGGAGATAACAAGGGGCAATTACGCAAAATACGGGAATCAAAGGACTTTCAGACGAGTAATTCAGTAGAAGAGCAGCATGAATTGCAGCATGATAGCCAGCACCTGGCAATAGAAAGAGAAACAAAAGAAGCTTACTCCCTAAAGGATACGCTTCATAGGAGAAATAAGCAAAAAATAGGAAGGACAAAAAAAAGGTGGGCCAAGCCTCCTTGGAAAAATAAGAGACTATCTAGAAGGATTACAACAAAGAAAGATGTAAGGAAGGTGGAAGACTTCAAACAAGTTAAGGGGGACTTCAATAAATACAGAAGAGCCCTTTTAGGAGTTTCCTTAAAGGAGTACAAACATCTACGACACTTGCAAGAAAATTATGAGAATGAATGTAAAAAGGAAGTGGAGTGGAAATGTTTGATTAGAAGAACCTTTTTGAAGTGGACCTTTTTGAGATAGTTGTATGTGGAAGTATACATAAATTAAAAAAAAATCTGATTATGATGTGCAGGCTGATGTAACAGGATGAAAATAATAGATGAAATGTAGCTGATGATAACATGAATTTCTCTAAGTTGCTGAAAAAGCGTTTCTATTTATCTAAAATATGTAGGTTGAGAAAGAAGTATGGATGAAATCTGCAGGTGTGGAAATTATGAATTCTCATTTTTATTTTCTTTTTTACCTGCTGGAAAATTTTGTTGCTTACCTAACATTAAATTCTCTTAGATATAGGCAAATACTTAAAATTGAGACACTTGGCTAAGGGGAAAAATTAAGGCCAAGATGAATTTTGGTATTGGTGAAGAGGTGAATAGTTTGGATGAATATTATTACTATTTTGATGATGACTGGACATAAGGGATCTAGATGATTAACTATTTGATGGAAGGAAATTTAGATTAAGAGATAACTAATTGCAATAGAAAGTGTAGCAGATTGAGAATATATCTACCTTAGGTTACATAATCAATGTGGTACAGAGGGACAATAGTGGGGAAAGGGATGGGGGTTGGTTGTGGTTGTATATATATGTTTATATGTTTGTCTGGATACATCTATGTCGTTGGTACACACGGGTGTGTGTCTTTGTATGTTGTGGAAAATTAATAAAAACATATTCAAAAAAATGAATGTGTCAAAGGTTACTGCGGCATGTATTCCCCCCCCCATTGTGTATGAAGTTCTAAATAAGAAATCCTCTTGCAGATGCTTGAGAATCGCACCTGGAGCCATGAGTGATCCCAGTGAATGAGCCCAACCCAGTTTGATCCCATTCATGATATGGGTCATTTAAGAGGCAAGAGTGTTGGGTTATGGCTTGGTGGATCTGGGTTCAAATTCACAGTAGGCTTGGAAGGTCTTTGGGTGCCCTTTAGCCTGTCCCATTTTTAGGCTAACAGACCTTGCAAGATAGTTGTTAGGATTAAATATTGGGGGGGGACCTTCTTGAGAACCAGCAAGGACTTGTGTGAGATGTATCCCATTTTCCCCTCCCCCGCTATTTCATATTTTCCTTTCCTGAAAGACCCCATAGGACAGCATAACGATTTTCATAGGGTAGCTGCTGTTGAAGAGGATCCAGCAGCCAGTCCTATGTGAGTCATACAGGTCAGGTGGTATCAAGTCACCTAGTGATTGCTGCCTGGCCTAGGGCTCGAAACGTCCAGGTGGGACCTTGCGATCTGAACTCTAGACAACAGAGATCAGTTTCCCTGAGAAAATGGTTGCTTTGCAAGGTCTATTTTTTGGCATTATAAATCCTAAATTGTTGTCCAGCTAGACTTTGGTAGATTGGCTAAGCGTGAACAAAGAGCAGCTAACCCCTGAAAAGAGAGCGGTCATGATGGTTGGGAAGGTGGAGATCTTTAATGACATTAAGCTTCCCAATTTTGATGGAGTTCAGCTGACCACTTAGCTGACTTAGTTAAGAGTTATACCAGATCCAACAGCAGTGCTGTAGAAGCAAGTAATCACCTATCCAAATAATGCTTTCTCCCAACTCAGCCTCACCCATAAGATAGCTCCTCACCTTGATACAGCTGATCCGGCCACCCAGAGCCACACCATGGTGGCATCCAGACTAGATGTATTACAGTAGTCTAGCCTGGATGTCTCCATGGCATGGATCCTGGCAGGGGATCTCTCATTCCACCACATGATAGCCATGTGTGTTCACTGTCCCACAACATACACCCGACACTAAGTTTGGACTTCCATCCATCCAGAGCTCTTGTCCTGTATTTCTGAGAGGTAGAAGATTTAAGGGATCTTTTATGGGAGCGTCAGGAGTTTGATACCACTCTAGTGCAGGCATCTATTGAGCCAAATGTTTCTTCACATGTATGTGAGGCAAAGAAACCTAATTCCTCTCAAGGAATTGAGACATGAATATTAGCAGGCCTGCTCTGGCTTGCAGGTGTCTATAGTTTGGTCCTGCTGATACCATCCTTACCTCTTTTGTTAGATCGCGCTAACAAAGGATCGCAGAGTGATTTCAGATCAGATCAAACGCATTCCAAAACAAGAAACAGTGGGAGCTTAAGCTCCTTTTAAACATTACCGGGCTAATATAGCCACGCCTATTTACATTTAACAACCAATGAGATTGAGAGTTAAGGACCAATAGGAGTCTTTCCCTCGCAGGGAATGGCATCGTTCTGATTGGTCGCTGTTACAAAGCGACCAATAGGAAGTCCATTCGGAGGAGCCCTAGCTCGGCTCTAAGCTTAACATAGGAGTTCAATGGGCCGATTCATGTAAACGTTTCAATACATTACAATTCCTCCCCCCTAAGTTAAGACATCATATTCTTGTTATTTATTTACATACTTCCACCCACATTTATTGGTACATCAGTAATACACTTATTGCAGTCATAGTCTTTTAGGTAAGTTGGCGTGTACCGCGCACGCTGAGACCTGCGAAGCGGTGCAGGTTCTGTTGGAGTAACAGGCTGTGAGTCAGCTTGGGGTTCCATGTAAACCGGGTCAGGTATATATTTTTCTGGGGTCGCAGCCCCGAACCCAGGGGTCTGTTCTGACTCTGGAACAGTACCGGGCAGTTCGATACTCACCTCCTGTTCTGGAGGTCTCAGATCTACATCAGGGGACCCGGCCGTCGGAGAGTCAGCACTGTCCTTAGCCCAACGCCTCCTCAACTGATCTATGTGGCGCCGCCACGTTCGTCCGTCAGATAGCTGTACCGCATACATGCGAGTACCCACGGCTTCTGAGACCACCCCCAGGAGCCATAAGTGCCCGTTTGCATAGTTTCTAGCAAAGACCTTGTCCCCCTTCTCAAATGTGCGCACCTTCGGCTGTGAGCCGGTATGCCCGGACTGATCGTCAGTCAAGTCCGGATGTAAACGATTCAAACGGGTCGTGAGTCTCCTCCCCATTAGCAATTCGGCCGGGCTACGGCCTGTGGCACTACAGGGAGTGGTGTGCTGCCGCAAGAGAAAAGAGCCCAGCCCTTGGCTCCAGTCCCCCTCGCCCATTTTCCCCAAGGCATCTTTGCAGTCCCGAGACAGGAAGGAAAGGCCCCAATCCCACCCAAGTTGGGAGTGGTGCGGAATTCTGGGAAAGCCCGGTGCCAGATATCCGTTATCAATTTACTGCAAAATCAGATGCACACTGCCGACGCTTCCGGCAATTCTGCTACCACGAGGTGGATGGGCCCCGAGAGGGTTGCAGCCAGCTCCATGGACTTTGCAGCCAGTGGCTGAAGCCAGAGAAGTGCACCAAGGAGGAGATTCTGGACCTGGTGATCCTGGAGCAGTTCCTGACTATCCTGCCTCAGGAAATGCAGTGCTGGGTCAGAGGATGTGGGCCGGAGACCAGTTCCCAGGCGGTGGCTCTGGCCGAAGGTTTCCTCCTGAGGCAGGCAGAACAGGTGAGGGGATTCCCTCTAGGTATGTCCAACTCTACCAATGATATCTGGCCTACATGAGAACATAAGAGAAGCCAACGTTGGATCAGGCCAGTGGCCCATCCAGTCCAACACTCTGTCACACAGTGGCCAAAAATACCAGGGGCAATCAGGAGGTCCACCAGTTGGGCCAGGACATTAGAAGCCCTTCCACTGTTGGCCCCGCCCCCCCAAGCACCAAGAAGACAGAGCATCATTTGCCCCAGAGTCTCTATCTATACCTTGTGGCTAATAGCCACTGATGGACCTCTGCTCCATATGCTTATCTAATTCCCTCTTGAAGCCGTCCATTGCAGTCACACGCTGTCTTGACGTTTTCAGTGAGTTATCTACTACGACTCAAAGATCTCTCTCTTGGTCAGTCTCGGCCAGGTCAGACCCCATCAACGTGTATTTATAGTTAGGGTTTTTGGCTCCAGTGGACATCACCTTGCACTTGGCCACGTTAAGAGAACGTAAGAACATAAGAGAAGCCAGTGTTGGATCAGGCCAGTGGCCCATCCAGTTGAACACTCTGTCACACAGGGCCCAAAACTTCCAGGTGCCATCAGGAGGTCCACCAGTGGGGCCAGGACATTAGAAGCCCTCCCACTGTTGCCCCCCCAACCCAAGCACCAAGAACACAGAGCATCACTTGCCCCAGCCTGAGAGTTCCTATCTATACCTTGTGGCTAATAGCCACTGATGGACCTCTGCTCCATATGCTTACCTAATTCCCTCTTGAAGCCTTCCATGCTTGTAGCCGCCACCACCTCCTGTGGCAGTGAATTCCATGTGTTCATCACTCTGGGTGAAGAAGGACTTCCTTTTATCCGTTCTAACCTGACTGCTCAATGATTTCATGGAGTGCCCACGAGTTCTTGTCTTGTGAGAAAATGAGAAAAGTACCTCTTTCTCTACCTGCTCTTTCACATGCATAATCTTATAAACCTCAATCATGTAACCCCTCAGCTGTCGTGTCTCCAAGCTAAAGAGCCCTAAGCACTTTAACCTTTCTTCATAGGGAAAGTGTTCCAACCCTTTTATCATTTGAGTTGCCCTTTTCTGCACTTTTCCCAATGCTATAATATCCTTTTTGAGGTGTGGTGACCAGAACTGTACATAATAAGCCAGTTTGGCCTTATCGTAAAGGTTCCCTGCCAAACATCTGTCCAAGTGTTAATCATCCAGATGGGAGATTTCATGGCCTCCTTAAGTAGCTTCTTCTACTAGAGAATTTCTTCCTTCTCTAGGTAACTCACCAGGGCTGCTGGTGGAAGGGTGCAGAGACTGGGAGTTGGGCAAGATCCATTCCTTGGTCTCTTTTCCATTCCATCTCTTATCCCTCTCCCTCACTGCTGTTTCAGATGTGGGCACCATCCGTGAAGACAGAAGATGCATTCCCTGAGGCAGAAGGAGGTTCCTTGGAGCAAGGACAGAGGGCGCAGGCCCAGGAGCGTGCCCAAGATGCCTTCTCCTGTGGTAAGGTCTCTTTATGCCGGGATGTGTTTGGGGTATCCCCGTGAGTTTGATGGGTTGAGACTTCAGGACAGGAAAAGAATTAAATACTTCTTCACACAATACAGAGTTAATTTGTGACACTCAGTGTCCACTAAATGTGACGCCTCTTAAAGCAGAATTAGACAAACTCATTGAAGACAATTCCTCCCATTAATTAAAATGTTCACATCTCAGCTTCTTTCCATAAAAAGAAGTCAAGGTGGCCTAAAAGGAAAAGGTAGACAAACCTGGGCAGAGCTATTCAATCTGCTGAATAAAGGGAGTCGCCATCTCCAGGGGCAGCAGAGCTCTGGAAACCAGTTCCTGGGGGCCAGGAGTCATGGGGAAATTTGGCTGCTATCCCCCATGCTTATTGGGGCATCTGGTGGGCCACTGTGGGGAAACAGGATGCTGGAGGAGGGGTGGCAGGCTGTGGACTTGGTACCAGTAATATATGAGAGACCTCCTAGTT